GGGGGGGGTGGGTGGGGGAAAACCATGGAGGGGAGGGGAGATAAGCAAAAAATCTCTTACCATAACGATAGAGGCGCCCAGGATCATGAAAATCATGGTGTTTGCATTCATGGACATCAAGAGGGAATGGCCAGCGGTCGGGTCCGTGCGCCCCCAGCCCGCGGAGGGCGAGCGGCGGCCGCGCTATTCCGCAGAGCCGAGCGCGGGGCGCATCGCGCTCGCTGCCCGCACGCTGCGGTGCGGCGGGGGGGGGGGGGGGGGGAAATAATAATAATTCCACCCCCGCTGCTGGCCCCGCGGTGGCGGCGGGTGCGCGGCTCCGGGAGCGGGCACACGCCGGTGCGAGCACAGCCTTCATGCAGCAACTGGGAAGCGAGGCAGCCAAACCCGGGGTGGGGGGAGAGGCTGGGGGAGGAGGAGGCAGGCTGCAAAAAAATCACCCACGCCGGGGGAGCCTCTTCGCATCCTCTCCGCCGACCCTCCCCAAAATCATCCCCGCTGCCGAGCGCTGCCAAATAAAAATGGGAAATTTAAAAAAAAAAATCACAAACCCTCCGGGCTCGGGGCCGCGCTGTCCCCGCCGGCAGCCCCGCTCCGCTCGGGGGAGGGATGCGGGATGCAGGGGAGGGATGCGGGATGCAGCGAGGGGGAAGATGCTCCCAGGCAGCTCCGGCCGCCCCCTCCCCACCCCACCCCGGCCATTTACCTACGTGGGGAGGCGCTGCTCCGGGAGCGGCTCATGGCGAGCTCCAGCTCTGCGGGCCGGCCCTGCGGGGCTCCCCCCGCCCCGCAGCCGCACGCCGAGCCCCGGCAGCGGCGCTTGGCCGCGTTTCCAGAGCCGCACGCCATCCTCACCCCGCCCTTCCTCCTGCCGGGGTCTGCCCCTCGCCGGGACCCCCCGGCTCTCCCCTCCCCTCCCCTCCCTTCCCTCTCTCCGCCCGGGGGTCCGAGCCCCGCGCAGCCCCCGCGCCTCCTCCGCCGCCGGTGCCCGCACGGAGCGCGGGGGTCGCGGCCCCGCTGCCGAAAGGAGCCCGAGGATGCAGCGGCGGCTCCTGGAGCGGGGAGAGAATCCCAGCCCGGCTGGAATCCGCCCCGCTCGGTGCCCCCGAAAGGTCGGGGGGCGCAGGGGGAGCCCGGCAGTGCTGTGACACAAAGAACTTTGTCCCGGCTCTGTCCCTAAGTCGTGATTCGTTTTTTTTGTGTTTTTTTTTTTTTTTTTTCCCCCACCGCGCTGGCGGGCTCAGGTCACGTTTAGGAGCTGCTGGGGGAAACGGAAAGAAAAGAAAAAGAAGTGACCAGGCGGTAACTTTCTCCTTGTTTGGCTGTTGTTGCTGTCACAGCGAGGTGGAGGGAGGGAAGGATCGCGGCCAGCACGTGGGAAATGCGTGGCAGCCCGGCTGGATGTCCTGCCGAGCCTTCCCTCCATCCTCAGCCTTCCTCACGGCGAGTTCCTCCTCGCTAGAATCCAGGTGTTCCCTTTTTTTTGGGCTTCTCAGGGTGACCAAAGCAGAGTTTGCTGCTGCTGGGTTTTGCGTTTTTGCAAATTTGTTTCCCTCCTGCTCCTCAGGCCACAATCAGCCTTCTTATGTAATGACTGGTGTTATATAAACTCCATTCTTCAAGGAACAGTCATTAACCTACTACTGGGTATTGAAAATACCAAAATACTGTCACACAATTAAAATCACTAAATGGTGTCCTCAAATTAGAGCACACATTGCATTGCAGATTTTATTTATTTAATTTTTTTTTAAATTTTTTTAACCACACACATGAAACATTTGACAGGCCGGGCTCTCCATGCAAAGGAGCAGCAGGGCTGGGAAGGCACCTCTTGCTTTATCCCTCTGCCCTGAGCTCCTTCCTCTTCCTCCTGAGCTCAGAAGTGGATTCTGCCATGGAGATGCAGAGCTCAGAGAGGATGCAGCTGGTTACTCTGCCTGCTGTAGAAAACAAAAGCCTTTCTAAAGTCACAGCTGAATAAAACCACGGGAGGGAACAGTTTGAAGACAAGTCTCAGGGAGTTTTGTGGAGCTGAAGTTTTCCCAGCCCTGGCTGGGTCAGTCTCAGCTGAGCTCGAGGCACTGAGGAGAGGTTTTTGTCTTGGATTCGGGTAAAGGCATTTCCCTCCCTGTGCTTCTGCAGCACAGGTGCCCAAAAAAATCCCTGTTGTGGTCAGTCCTGGCTGCTGGGGATCCCAAAAATCCCTGTCCTGATCAATCCTGCCTCCTGGGGATCCCAAAAATCCCTGTCCTGATTAGTCCTGGCTGCTAAAAGATCCAAACATCCCTGTCCTGATCAACCCTGGCTGCTGGGGATCCCAAAAATCCCTGTCCTGATCAATCCTGCCTCCTGGGGATCCCAAAAATCCCTGTCCTGATTAGTCCTGGCTGCTAAAAGATCCAAACATCCCTGTCCTGATCAACCCTGGCTGCTGGGGATCCCAAACATCCCTGTCCTGATCAATCCTGCCTCCTGGGGATCCCAAAAATCCCTGTCCTGATTAGTCCTGGCTGCTAAAAGATCCAAACATCCCTGTCCTGATCAATCCTGGCTGCTGGGGATCCCAAACATCCCTGTCCTGATCAATCCTGCCTCCTGGGGATCCCAAATATCCCTGTCCCAGTCAATCTTGACTGCTGGGGATCCCAAATATCCCTGTCCCAGTCAATCCTGGCTGCGGGGGATCCCAAACATCCCTGACAGGTGACAAACGCCATCCTGGTCCTGGCCCAAGTGGCACTGCCACACCTGCTGTGAGCCAGGGGACATTCACACCTGAGCAAAGACTCTCTGATGGCTGAGCTGCCTCCACGATGGGTTTGTTAAACTCATCCCTAATTAACAATTAGCTGCTCCTTTTGGAAAAGCAGCCCCCACCCTGCCTGTGGCTCCTGCTCAGCCCCAAGCTGTCACCACCAGCTTCACCCCAAGGGGTGCACAGACTGTGTCACAGGATTTCGGTGGCATTTGGCCATACCCTAATAAAGTTTATTTGCCCCCTTTTCATATCCAGCCTCACTGTCACCACCAGCCTCACCCAGAGGTGCACAGGCCGTGTCACAGGATCTCAGTGACATTTGGGCATACCCTAATAAAGTTTATTTCCTTCCTTTTCGTATCCAGCCTCACTGTCACCACCAGCCTCACCCAGAGGTGCACAGGCCGTGTCACAGGATCTCAGTGACATTTGGCCATACCCTAATAAAGTTTATTTGCCCCCTTTTCATCTCCAGCCCTAAGCTGCCACCACCAGCCTCCCCCAGAGGTGCACAGGCCGTGTCACAGGATCTCAGTGATGTTTTGCCAGCCCCTAATCAAGTTTATTTCCCCCCCTGTAAATATCCAGCCCCAGGTGGGAGTTTATCACAAACCTCACCCACAGGACTCTCTGCTTTCCTCTCAAACACGGCCTCAGCTCAGTTCTGTGCTGCTCACACAAGTCAGAGTTTACCCCAACCAGAGCAAGCATTTCTGTTCCTTTGGAATTGTTTCCACACCCTGCCTGGACTCCACGTGTTGATTTTTATTCCCATTTTCCCCCCAGTTTTGTGCCAGTAGGAGTGTTTGTGTTTGATTTTATCAATGCATTCTCCTCAGACCCAACACAAATGAGAAGTTGGATTCTCGGCAAGAAATGGGGAAATCTGGGACCATGGATCTTTGCACAGATCCAGGAACCCCAAACCCTTGGGAAGAAGCTCTCGTCTGCACTCCTCTTCAGCAACGAGACACCAGCAGTGCAGAGGGAGAAAATGCCCAAAATCCCCCCAAATCCCCAGTTTTAGTTACAGAAACCAGTTTGGGAGATGTGCTGGTGTGGCTGACAGGATGCTCTGCACGTCCTGAGAAGCAGGAGGAAATGACAAACCCGAGGGGGAGAGCCCCACAGGGGGAGTGAGCAGGGCTGTGCTGCTCTGAGCCTCCCAAAGGGGGGAGAGCCCCACAGGGGGAGTGAGCAGGGCTGTGCTGCTCTGAGCCTCGGGGTGGGACCTGCAGAGGATGGGAAGCACAAGAAGGGCTTGGCAAAGGTCTGCCCAGCATAAAAAAAACCAAAACCAAAACAAAACAAAAAACAAAAAATTAAAAACAAGTAATCAACCAAAAAAATCCCCAACCAACCAACCAAGCAACCAAAACCCAAACAAACCCAAACCAAAACCCAAAAAAATACCCCCTAAACCAAAACCAAAAATCCCCAACTAATCAAGCAGACAAAAATCCCCAACCCAACCAAAAAAACCCAAACAAACCCAAACCAAAACCCAAAAAAATACCCCCTAAACCAAAACCAAAAATCCCCAACTAATCAAGCAGACAAAAATCCCCAACCCAACCAAAAAAACCCAAACAAACCCAAACCAAAACCCAAAAAAATACCCCCTAAACCAAAACCAAAAATCCCCAACTAATCAAGCAGACAAAAATCCCCAACCCAACCAAAAAAACCCAAACAAACCCAAACCAAAACCCAAAAAAAACCCAAAGCAAACAAAAAACAAAAAATTAAAAACAAGTAATCAACCAAAAAAATCCCCAACCAACCAACCAACCAAAACCCAAACAAACCCAAACCAAAACCCAAAAAAATACCCCCTAAACCAAAACCAAAAATCCCCAACTAATCAAGCAGACAAAAATCCCCAACCCAACCAAAAAAACCCAAACAAACCCAAACCAAAACCCAAAAAAACCCCAAAACAAATAAAAACCAAAAAATCCCAAACTAATCAACCAGACAAAGAAACCCAAACCAACCAACCAACCAACCAAAACCCAAACAAACCCAAACCAAAACCCAAAAAAACCCAAAGCAAACAAAAAACAAAAAACAAAAAAATAAAAACAAGCAATCAACCAAAAAAATCCCCAACCAACCAACCAACCAACCAAAACCCAAACAAACCCAAACCAAAACCCAAAAAAATACCCCCTAAACCAAAACCAAAAATCCCCAACTAATCAAGCAGACAAAAATCCCCAACCCAGACAAAAATCCCCAAACCAACCAAAAAAACCCAAACAAACCCAAACCAAAACCCAAAAAAACCCCCAAAACAAAAAACAAATTAAAAAACCCAACCAACTAATCAACCAGACAAAAAACCCCAAAGCAA